TGTGTGTGTGTGTGTGTGTGTGTGTGTGTGTGTGTGTGAGGGGTAGCACCGTGTGTGTGTAGGGTGACCAGATGTCCTGCTTTGTGCAGGACTGCACACACAGCATTTTTATTATTTGTCCCGCGTCCCACACATTGAGACTATGTCCCGCATTTGAGTGACAGTCGCGCAGGAAGGCCGGATCGGTTCGCTGGCGGCCGGCACCGCCCTTTATTATTATAATGTTTAAACGGCATCACGTAAGTTGTGCTGACAGGCGACACAGAGGTCCACAGTGACGCTGCGGGAGTTCCCTGACACACCGGGGACACATATTTATGTATAGAAGACATCAAAAAGTGCATTTTGCATGCTAGGTCCCCTTTAAGCTAAGGGTTTCATCATTTAGTTTTACGCCTCCAGATAATAAAAGCTCATGAAACAATCCGTCTTCAGCACAAGGTGAACGATGAGACACAGAGAGAGCAGCTACCTTGAAGGATTTGGGGAAGTTGTTGTTGAAGTGTGGCTTTACGAGTCCAGTGCAAACACCCGACAAACATTTGGAGACGTTGTTTGTTAAATCACTTCGAGGAGTGATCTGCACCACCGGATCAGGCTCTTCTTTTTTGATATCATGGTTGTTTATTTCTGGAGTGGCGTGCAGTTCATTGTGAGCCGAGAGCTGTGTGATCAGAACAAGATAAAGGTTAGCACCAAGTTCAAACAAGATCTCAGACATTTCTACAAGGTGTGGATTCAAGTCGTACCGGTGTGGGGAGAGTTTTCCCTCTGGATGGAGCCGAGGCCGACTGTGCGTTGAGCTCTAAACTCTTCCTCTGAAATAAAAAGGGAAAAAAAGGTTAACATTCATATAAACTAGAGATACTCCGATCAATCGGCCGCCGGTATTCACTCTCGGCCGATCAATCGGTGCTCTCTATAAAGGCCAATCGGGAGAGCCGATCACATGACGTAAAATACATGACACTTTTCTCTGTGCGCGGCAAAACAAGCTCACCAAGATGGCCTCCCCGACTTTGGTCAGTATGTTCAGGTGTCCGAAAAAGAACAGTAAATAAGCGGCCGGTATGCAACGTGTGTGAAGCAGAAATCCTGCAGCTCCACCCGCTGTGACGGACCGGTGAGCGGAGCAACACACACACTAAGAGTTAGACCTAACACACTTAGCTATTGTATCTACCTCTGGAACAAGAT